ATGAATACATATCTATGTCTGAATCTGATATGGAATGTGTATAGATGTAATAAATTATAAATAGTCTCATTTTATCTTCAGCAGTTCCAGCTTCTGTATCATTTATAATATCTAATATTTGCTTATCTAATGATGCTTGGCTCATTACTTTTTCCTCAAATTCAAACAGTAAGTCTAAACGCCTCGATTTAATCACAGATAAAATACTAGTAGCTAAATCTGTATGCATATCTATTAATCTTTTCTTTTCTAATAATTGTGGTAAAGAATTAACAGCAGATGTCAGTTTAGCAGTATTATCACTCATCATGGCTAAAGCCACATCACTTTCGCCATCTAAACCCATAGACTCTTTTAACTGTTTGACTTCTTCTTCAGAGTTCTTTAAATGTTCCAGTTCGGATTGAATTGATTCTGCTACTGTAGGAAATGGGCTTCCTTTGTGAGTTGTCCAAAAAGAATCTTTAGGATCAAGATCAAAAGTTTTGGGTTTTTTTTGATCTTGTGCTACTGTAACTCTATTTAAATTTAGCTTTAAAACATCATGTATCAACGCTTGATAAGTCCATGTATGATGAAGAGGTGTTGCCATATCAATATTTCGGTCAAGTACAACCAAAAGGGGTCGTTGAAAATTGTAAATTCCAGAGTTTTCAGATGAGAATAAACTATTTCTAGTATCTCTTAGATTTTCTCTTAATTTTTTGTCTAATTTTTCAGCTACCATTTCTGCAGCATTACCACGAGCACTGCGAATTATAGGTAATGTTCCAAGAGTTACAAAAACAGAATATAAACCATCAACAGTATCATCCATCATTACTTCTACATCAGTATCTTTTGCATCTGCACGGTTCAATGCATAATATGATACTGATTGAGCATTTTGATTACTTARTATAAACAATTCATCTTCCAAAGAAATAAAATTTAAATATTGGTCATAAATTTTATGAACATGGCTTACATTTTCAGTATGTAGTGCTGAACTAGCCAAATCCTCTAGTTTTTGACGACAAATAGCCGAGATAAAGTTTAAATAATATTTTTCATATACATTATTCTGAAAGTCTTGAGCTATTCTGTCGAGATTAACTTGATCCGGCATASAAAAGTAAATAGCTGCTACATCAGGAATAGGATCTCGTTCAGAATGAATGCTCAAGTGCAATGTTACACCACATTCTCGTAATTCTTTAATTGGAATTAATGGTGATAGAATATCTTGGCCTCGGCGATCATATATAAGTACTTTCCATACTGGTTCTGAACCATTATCTTTATATTCAGAACTATTTAAGTTGAGCATTTGCTTTAATGCTGCAATTTGCTTGTCCCGAATTGATGACATAGTGATAGTTTTATTATTGATTGTTGGCGTTTTTTTATGTAAAATTGTATTCAAGAAATATTGATAACATTACAGAAAAGTATTTTGATCTATTATGATCTTGCAAACTTGATACATTTCATTTTGTAAAATAGGATTCCCCATAAAATACCTAAAACAAAAGTAAAAATAAAATCTAGAATTTAGTCCGTATAGGTACTATGTAGAACACTCACTTTTAGTTAAATCCAAATGTTTAAAGTCAAAAATAAATGTTAACACTTAAATAAACATATTTTATTGATTATCAAAAAGATTTCAATAAGATCATACAGTTTAAAATATTTTGTATACTTAAATATGAAATGAAAAATTTTAATAACAAAAAAAATTAACTAAATTAAATATTTTTTGATTATTATCAATTAAGTTTATTATCAATGTAGTGTTGTCAGTTACCACGTCAATTTGATATTTAACCACGTACCAGGTAATATTCTAGCGTGATCTACTTACATAACCATAAAATAAATCTTAATAATATGTTTCCTWTTCTTGATTCGTGTAAATAAAGATAATTCTGTTTTCTGAATCTTAACTTGAAGGTGTTAACTGCAGTATAGATATTATAAGTTTTAATTTTAAATTATTAAAGTAACTAAAATTTCCGCTTTTGGCATATTTTATATCTACTATAATGGCGTTAAATTTGAAAGTTAAAGTACACCCTGTTGTGTTATTTCAAATCGTGGATGCTTATGAGCGTAGGAATGTTGATGCTCATCGAGTAATTGGAACATTGATGGGTAAGTGCTAAGTTCATTAACCAAATTAAATGGAAAATATTATGAGTTGTCACAAATAATTTCTTACATTCCAGGTACGGTCGACAAAGGTGTTGTTGAAGTGACCAATTCTTTTGGCGTCCCTCATAAAGAATATGAAGACACAGTGAGTACATTCTCATAAACTCTTATTTGATTGTTTAACTTTCAATGTTTTAAATTTTTTAAGGTTGAAGCTGATATTGTGTATGCAGCAGATATGTTTAAAATGAATCAAAAAGTCAACAGATCTGAACAAATTGTTGGATGGTGGGCTACAGGTAATGAGGTAACTACACATTCATCAACCATACACGAGTACTACTTGATGGAATGTAATAATCCAGTACACATCACTTTGGATACTACTTTGAAAAATGATAATATGGGATTGAAAGCATACGTTAGGTAAGTTATTGATTGTAGTTTAGATTAAAAATATATTAGGACTGCATTTTTGCTAGTAACTAACATAACTAGTAAACTGATACATAAATAATTGAATTTCTGCATTTATCAGAATCTATTTTGTGTGAACATGGTATAAAGCAACTCAATTTAATCTATAATATTTTATTACAGTACACAAATTGGTGTTCCTGGAGGTAAAACTGGAAATATGTTTATCAATGTACCAATCGAAGTTACTTGCTATCAACCCGAAACAGTTGGACGTATGTCAATATTTATACTCATTTGTCACTTTTCTTCTTATTTATACTATTCAAAATAATGTTGGTATCTATAGTAGTAGTAATATTAATTAGTGACACAATACCTATTTCACGAATATTAAATATCCAAAGTTAACTCTTCAAAAATTATTAACGATTACTTTTTTATTGCACAAAACTACCAGTGTTAAATTTCCTTTTCATAATTTAAGCCGTAATGTATATATTTGTTATAGTAATATTGTTCTTTTTTAGTAAGCTTGTGCCAGAAAACTGTAGCTGTTGGACAAAAGTGTCAAGAACCGATCGCTGAGTTAATA